AAATGAGGAAAGTTCAAGCAGCCATTTAATTTAATGCCTTATGTCATCTAATTTAACACCCAAAGGGGTATTTACCGCAAAGTGAAAGTTTAGGGGGTTTTGTAACAAATGAAAGTTTGGGGGGTGTATACATACATATCATCACATGCTTTAACTAGTTAATGGAATGCTAACAGTGAGACACTGAGATTTGAGTATAATTTACCCAAAAAAGTCATATTTTATCTTTCAAATCTAATTTATGTCAATATAAGGGCAAAATCTATGGTGTATGAATCGCACTGAAGAAAAAATGTGAACTAGCAATAAAACAATACATCATACTTGACATTTTTAACATTGTTAAAGTCTTAATGGTAAGTGTATTTTATAAAACATGAACAAATGAATAGTAAGTAGATCATGTGGCATCTTTAATGTATTTGATCGAAATTTTGATTTAATGTGCAAGAAATATTTGTAAATGCGTTGTACTTGGATTCCAAAATAAGCTTAAAAACAATAAACATTACAAGTTATATAATAGGTATTGATACTTGAGGCAAATCTGACCAAACCAACATTAATTTCTAAGAATTGGGCAACCTAAAAACTATTTTAGCTGCCAACTCTTAATTGATCTAAGGGTCTAGGTATTCAGTTGCTTTGAGTCTAACAACAACACTAAAAAGTATTGATCATTAGGGGTGAGCATTCGATTTATTCAGTTCAGTTTTGAACCAAATAAATTGAAATTTTAAAAATCGAAATAAAAATATGAAAATCGAATTGAAACCGAATTACAAGAAAACTGAATTTTTTTTGTTCTGTTTTCAGTTATTTCAGTTAAAAACCGAATTTAATTAATATATAAAATATTATATATTATAATCTATAATATATATATATATATATATATTATATATTATGAATTTGAATTTTATTGTAATACATTATATATAATATATTAATATATAAATATACAGTATATTATATATTATATGTTATATATTACATATTATATAATGAATTTTATTTTTTCGATTAACCGAATTTCTAACTTTAAAAACTAAAAAAACCAAAATTTCCAATTTACTATTCCAGTTTCAACCGAATAATGCTCACCCCTATTGATCATCATTCATGTTCAACATCCTAATATGGGATGCATTAGGCCTTCTCTCTGCTCCAATTCTGTCCTACTCCATGAACAAGCTTATTGTTGTAGAAAACTTATAAATCACACACAGACCATGAAGAAGACTAGATCTGCATCCACAAGATGCCACTCACATAACTTCCAACATAATCTATAACCACACGTCTCAAACATGTTTTTGTATACTGTCATTGATGGGCTCGTACTGGAGATGTGTGGCTATAGATCATCTTGGAAGTTGTGTGAGTAGTGTCTTATGGGTAAAAGATCCGGATTCGACCTTAAATTAATAGGTCTGATGATAGGGTTGTGTATAGACATGATGATAGAGTTGTTTCATATTTGAAGGTAGTAACCAAAGTAAATTTTGGTATCATATAGAAAAATGAAAGACTTGCTATTGATTATAATCATTCATCTTTCTATGCATGGGCAACAACTAGTGGGTTCCTATTCTTGTTCTTTTATGGTTCCATCAACTCCAACCAAGGAAGACAACTGACCTTTCCCTAAGTCAACATTCATGCACCACCCATTGTGGGAGTCTGTCTATCTACACCAACTTCAGCATGTAACATCCCTATCTTCTCTCTCAACAAAAGGTTTCCTATGGATGGCTGCACCAGTATTTCACCCACTTGGTAAGAACAATTAATTAAGATATTATCAGACCCTATACTAAACACTATTCATTGAACTGCAGCATCAAGTGTCAATAACTAGGTTTGAATTGCTCTCTATTTTTTTTAACTGCATGTGATGGTTGTGAAACCATTAATAACATCCATATCTATCATACAATATAGACTCTCTATAATAAGGTTAGTGGACCTCAGATACACCCTATTCTGTCTCTATTCGAGAAACCTAAAATAAAAATGATTGCAGGATATATACACTCACACTATTATTGGTTATACAACCCCTAACACAGCTAGCTTTGAAATGCAGCTAATCAAGACTCATATTAATGGGCAATCACTTTTTTTATTTATGGTGTATATTAAAACCACGTTACCCATATTTAAGATTCTCTAAAATATATCAAAAAGGATAATTTCCTCTTTTTTTTTCTAAAAATAAAAAATATTCTTATTCGAAGTAAGGCAGGTTTTGGGATTTGGGAGAAGAGCTATTCTAAATTGTTTAGCCCATTTCATCTAAAAAATGAAAAGCTATTTAATATTTTGTGGGGTTTCATTTTGTGTACCGTACCGTGTAAGAATGCATTTTTTATGATTCCCACACGGCTGTCTCCTTTGAAAATCTTTGCCAAGTGGCCAAATCAAGATTCACCACCGTCAACCCTAATACAATAACAAATGGCTTGTTGAGGTTCTTTCAAGAAACATGGAAACTATGCATTCAAGTAATCGGTCTTAAGTCTCCTAAAAACTTATAATTTTATTTGAATATATATACACATATGAAGAATGTCTTAATATAAAATTGTATATGACAGGGAGTCATTGTTACACGAATTGAGTAGTGATTTGGCTAACGATCTTTGATTTGATGGTCCCCAGACGATTTGCATGTCTCAGTCCATGCTTGGATGTCGGCGCCACTGTTTGGATGCATCATCAACACTCATCTCCTTGGGTCAGTTCATGATGCATGAGCTTAGCCTGGATAAAGGTAGCCCGACATTTTATGGAATCTGAAGTGAGCAAGAACTGAAAAAGTTGCAGACCCAGACGAGGCCAAAAAGAAATGGGTCTAATGGGACCCTACTTTTTCTGACCCCCACCGCAGACAAACATACAACTAAAAGGGGATTCATGATTTCATCTTGGATTAGGTTGAACCGGTTTAACCTAATACAGATCCTCTTCTGGTTGGTTCATTGGTTGGGCACAATTTCTCTCTAATTCTCACCCTCTCCACTAGGGGCGTTCATGGTTCAGTTAATCAAACTGTGGGACTTTTTTTGTAACCAAACTGGTGCTATTGGTTTTTTGGAAAATCGGTGACCGAAACTGAGCCAAAGCCAATTGGTTAATTGGTTGATCGGTTCGGTTAACCGTCAATTCGGTTTATCAATTTTTTGATTTTTTAAATTTTACAATATATATTACAAAAATATATATAAATATATATAAAATATTAGATTTTAAATAATAAATAATATATCATATATTATAAATATATATTTATATATAATTCATATTTATTAATTTATAATATATAAAATATAATATATATATATATAACATACATAAATATATACAAAATATATAGAAATATATGTATATCGGTCGGTTCGGTTAACCATTAATTCTTTATATTAGTTAACCGAAACTGAACCAGTACCTTCGGTTTTTTAAAAATACTGAACCAACCAATTCGGTTAACCGATTTTTCAATTTGATTTCAGTTGGTTCGGTTTTTTGGATTTTTTTGCTCACCCCTACTCTCCACTCTCATAAAACTAAAAAGAAAAAAAAAAGTAGTTTATACTACAAATTTTAATTTATTTAGTTCGGGCTGTGTTTGGTTTTGAAAAAGAACCCAGATCTCTTTAAAGCAAAAACTCTATATACACAACATCCAGTTACACATTGGGAATATCTCCGATATATATAAAAAAAAAAATTATGTCTTTGAGACAGTGGTTGGATCATCAAAATCAAGAACCGAAAACTGATTTTAGTCGTAAAATAAGGATAACTTAAAATCATTTGTTATATTTATTGTAATTTTTTTTATTTGAGCAAAACCAGACAATCGAACCAAACCATTAGATTGTTCAACTCGTGACCCAGTGACCAAAAATGGTTTTATATCCGATCCAAGTCCAACAACGCCGTATTTGATGATTTAACCAAGTGGTTTGACTGGTCAAATGATAAAAACCTCGGACCCAGTTATCGGGTCATTTGATTCAATGGATCGACCGCCTGGTCCAAAGACTGATCATCATAACCATTTGATCGAATTCCCATAAAATCACAACCATTTGATCATTTATGCTATTTTTGGATGGTTTTGGGTCCAGATCCAGGCTATGGGAGTAGGGATGTCAACAGGTTGGGTTTGGTACGGTTTTGTCTCAATCCTAACATGATCCTCCAGTGCCTCAACCCGGTTTTTAAAATGTATGATTCTCAAACCCGACCCGACCCTATGGGGTCTAACCCGATATCAATCCAACTAGACATGTAAAATTTCAATTGCATGTTTTAAACATATTTTGGAGACATAAAATTCATTAATTTACGTAAAAAAATTGCTTTATAGATTTTATGGTATCACTTTCCCTTTTAAATAAGAAAATCCAAATCAATATGCAAGTAAATCTTAACTTTAAAACTATAGAATTAGAAGTCAAAAACTTACAAGAATATTTTGCATAAATGCAGGTATCGTCACCCATCGGGACGGGTCAGTCAAAACCTAAACCCGACTCGGGTTGAAGAATTAAAACCTAATCCAACCTTAAATTGAATATACTTGACCCTAACTCGGTCGGGCCAATCCGAGTTATCATTTAATCCGACCCATTGACATCCCATCCAGAGTATGGAAACTCTGTGGGCATTGTTGTGATTCCGTTTAAAAGGCAGGGGCAATTATGTCACAACCCAACGGTAATTATTCTTGATTTGATTCCCGCTTTACACGGACAACGACAAGGACGAAACTTCAGTGAAGCAGTGAACCCACGCTTCTCTTTCACACTAGTCACTACCGTCCACTCCCAGCCGAAAACTTTTAATCGAATAGAAATTCTTTTAATATTTTCATGGTTAATTAAATTACGATTAACTTAATCAATAATCTAATCATGATTAACTAATTTTAATGTTTTAATTAAATTTAATATAATATTATCTCCTCTCTCCTTTCTCTTTTCCTTCATTTCTGGTTTTTCACGTTACAGTAATACTAACCAGTAACCAGCACGCTCTCTCTCTCTCTCTCTCTCTCTTTCTCTCTCTCGTAATTGAAGCTGATAAATGAGTCCGAACAAATGAGAAGCTTTCAGGTCCGGAAAAGTCGGTGCAAGAAGAGACCTTGTCTCTCATGGAACACTCCTCGCACTTTCTGAGCGTCGCCGCTGTAAATCCGGCGAATCTCCGGCTTGGTTTCCATTGTTGATGTACTGGAATGTCTGACTCCGGCAGCTCCCCGGTGGCGTAACCGAGATCCTGTTGTACAAGGTCTCTCTCTCTGTCCTTCGCTGAGGGGTGGATGATCTTTTGTTGTTGCGAAACTTGCGAGATGTTGATTGGGCTCCGTGATTCCTTTTAGGATCATGAGAAGTACTTTTCCTTTATTCCTCCTTTTTGAGCTTCTGTCTTGCTCTCCCCATCAAAGTTAAATCGTTTTTTCTTACAGGAATTGATTCTTGTTCTTTTTTATGCTTTCTGCAGCTTTTTGAAGTTATTTTTTGAGTTGGGTTTTGCTTTTATGGTCAAATCTAGTGGCTAATTGTTTTGATTTGGTTGATCATGTGTCTTTTTAGGTAATGATTTCTGCTTTTCTTAGTGATTTTCGAGTTAGTTTCTACTTTTGGGTGTGAATCTGGTCACTTTTGCAGCGTTTATTTCGTTTCTTCTCTGCGTTTTATAGTAATTGCAACTTTTATCAATGGGGTCTTGTGTTATGTAAAGATAGTTTTTTTTTTTTTTGTAATTTTCCTTTGAGGCTTCCGGTGTTGATTTTGGTGCAGCTAACGTCAGTTTCGATGAATGTAGGTGATTTAGTTTATTAATTTAGTGTTTTAGCCATCAATGTTGCCCTTTCATGTAAATTTGCAGTATTTTTACTTGCAAAAAGAGAAAAATGGTTGTAGTTTCCAGTTGCCTCTTTGTCTTTGGCTTATTTCAGTGATTGGGGATGATTTCTTCCTTTACTTTCACGTTTCTCCCCCACAATTCCATCTTCCTACCTTCCATTTGTTCCTAAAGTGTTCTTGTGATTCGGATTTCCCTTCTTAATTCATTTTTATGATGACTTCTCAATATTTAGATATTTATTTGTAATTTTCTTTCCGGTTATTGGTGGGTAGACCTCAATTAGGACCTGAATTAAAGTTTATTTACCTGGAAAAATTATCGAGGCGTCAAGCATTTCCTGGTAAGCCTTGGGCTTTTAGATGATGTTGCAGGAATTCGAGATTTTATTTGATCAGTTGATCTTCTAATTCTCTCCTTTGTATTGCACGTTTCTCATCTAAAATTAAGGGTTTAACTATAAAACATGCGCTTTGCCTTATTTTGGTTTATTCTTGCATTTACCTTTGTTTTAGATTCTACAGACCTTTTTGTGCACCCCTATGTTATGTTTCTAGACTTGAAAAAGTAGTTTTTCTTTTATTCAAAATTCAGTTTTACTAATTTTTGGACTTCAATCTACTATTTAGTTCTTATTTTCAGCTATCCATTTTATTTCCTTTTCTATTTTTCTGGCCTAGTTTGTATAGCTGGGCTAAGGCTGCAGATGGAGCTCTTTTTGTGTTTATTTGTGTTTTCTTTTTGGCATAATGCTTGAATAGCAGACTTGGTTGACATGCGTTAGCTTCTTTTTCATTTTTTTATTTGTTGTTTTCTACCAGACGTCTGCAGTACATTTTAGAAATGGGATTGATTTCTGCTATATTTTCCTTTTCAGGCACTGAAATGCATATGAACGGGATGCAGCAGAGAAGAGCTCACGATCTTGATAAGCCATTTCCAGGATGCATGGGAAGGATGGTGAACTTCCTTGATTTAAGCACTGGTGTGGCTGGAAACAAACTGCTTACAGAGAAACCACATCGAGATTGTAATTTTCTTTACATGCATTTCTTTCCTTTTCCCCATGACGTGATGTTCCTGCCGGTGAAAGAAGCTTTAAAATATCAATTTGCTCATTTCTGTTTCCAGTTTCCAAATTGGCTTTTTCTTGGGGAAAAGGGACCTGTTTATCACAATTTCTCCTGTGAAGTTTTTATTGTCATAACTGATGGAGAGCATCTTAGTAAATTATGGTGCAATCATGTAGTAGAAACAAGACTCAAGTTTAATATTGATTACAACATTTGCTCTGTCTTTTTGATCAGTGACCAATAAAAGTTCACTTCAATGCATACTCTTGTACTGTCCCACTTTGCAATTTGACAGGTTTATTGGATAAAATTACATATTTCAGCAAGCTATTAGACAGAATTTGACATGTGCTTCCAAGTTCCTTTATTTTTTTTTCTCTTAGATGTCACATGTATGCACATATTATAGTTTCAACTTTGACATATATATTGAATGATTAAATGGCTGAAAGTGAGTAATCATATATCAATCTACCGGTCTATATAACTGATGCTTTTATAGTTACTGTCTTTCTGATGTAGAGGTTAGTAACTGTTCCTTTTTTACAGAAACATAAATCTTTGTTGGCTTGAATGTGAATTTGTCTTTTATTTTCTGATATATGAAATCATATAATTTTGTGAAAAACCTATGAGCCTATCAGAATAAGTTGTAAGAACCAGAGAAAATAAAAACAAATTGACTGATCACTTAGGATTCTGAAAATTACATTGACACTCCATTTAAGTCAATTATCATTCTTTAATTCTCCCTACATTCATCATTGGTATGTTTTTAATGAGATTGTTGATATTAGAATCTTACTTGCTGGCATCTGCTAGTGGATGTTGATATAGATCTGATTGATGATCAGGTTCTTTTCTTCCTAGAAGTCAATCAGAAAAGTCAGATCCCATCAGAGACCAGATGGACAACAAACCAGTAAGCTTTTTGAGACCTCATAATCATAATAATGTCAGAAAATAGATCAATTCAATGCATGTTGTTCTTAGGGTACTGAAGATCAGTCAGTAGTCATTTGACCGTAGTAGTCCAAAATGATATCCTGACTCCAAATACGTTCTGTTTGGGGACATGCAGATAGGATACGAGTTGAGGAGGGCTTATTCAAGCAAGAAATCAAGTGGAACACCCATGAAGATGCTCATAGCCCAGGAAATGTCAAAAGAAACAGAGTCTAAACAAAAGCCACCTGGTGTAGTTGCCAAGTTGATGGGGCTTGAAGCACTGCCAGGACACCATCCAGATTCAACAGGACAGAGAATCCAGCAAAAAGGTTGTTTACTGAATTCTTTTACTGAACCCGAGGCAATATTTAGATATCAGCATCAAGAAAGTGACATCTCAGACAGGGAAATGCAATGTGAGATTCATCCAGTTCTGGAGCATAAAGAGTACAAAGATGTATATGAAGTTTGGCAGAAATCACCGAAAGGTAACCACACTAAAGATAAATCTCCACAGAAGGGAAGACAAAATGAAAATCTGAATGAGAAAAAGATGGCTTTTGTACGTCAGAAATTCACTGAAGCAAAACGCCTTGCCACAGATGAAAAACTACACCAGTCTAAGGAATTCCAAGATGCATTGGAAGTTCTGAATTCCAATACGGAGTTATTCCTTAAGTTTCTGCAAGAACCAAATCCACTATTTTCACAGCATTTGTTTGAACTACGATCTATTYCCCCACCTACTCAGACAAAGCGCATTACAGTATTGAAACCTTCTAAGAATTTGGAAAATAACAGATTTTCCGAACTAGAGAAGAAGAGTGAAAAACAGATAAAGAAACAAACACAAGTGTTTGAAGAAAATGGGTGGGACAAAGAGAAGCCTTGCTGGAGTCCTGTGTACACAAAACAGAAGGTTGATATTTCTGCTCAACCAACACGGATAGTGGTCTTAAAGCCTAGTCCCGGGAATAACCATGACATTAAAGCCATTGTTTCTTCCCCTCCCTCTTCACCAAAGTTGCCACATAATCATGATTTCTGTGATGAAACAGAAGATAACGAGGCAATAGGATCAAGAGAAGTGGCAAAGCAGATCACACAGAAGATGCGGGAAAATTTGAACACTCATCAGAGAGATGACACTTTACTATCCTCTGTGTTTTCCAATGGATATACTGGGGATGAAAGTTCATTCAATAGGTCAGAAAATGAGTACGTGGAAGAGGGAAACATCAGTGATTCAGAAGTCATGACTCCAACCCTAAGACATTCATGGGACTACAATAGGTTTGGTAGTCCTTATTCATCCTCTTCTTTTAGCCGGTTATCCTATTCTCCAGAGTCATCAGTTTGCAGGGAAGCAAAGAAGCGACTTTCAGAAAGGTGGGCCATGATGGCATCTAATGGAATTAGTCAAGAACAAATACAAGTCCAGAGAAAGTCAAGTACATTAGGTGAGATGCTTTCTCTTTCTGATGCAAAGAAGCCTGCAAAATCTGGTGAAGAAGGTCCTGATGTGGGCTTGAGCGTCATTAGTAGCAGATCCTGTGGCGATGAACAAGATCTTATGGCACCACCATCATGCTTGTCAAGTGCCAGGGATAAGGATGAAGGTGGGGAGGTATCTCCAAGGAATCTACTAAGGTCAAGATCTGTTCCTGTTTCTTCTACAGTTTTTGGGACAAGGTTGAATGTTGAAGTTCCAGAACCTGATGTTGGCAAGCCAGTTGTTCCCAAGGAGTCAAAGCCAAAAGGCGGGAAGTCAACATTCAAAGGGAAAGTTTCAAGTTTGTTTTCCTTAAGGAATAAGAAATCAAGCAAAGAAAAATCTAATGCATCACCCTTGGCTGGCTTCCAAGGTGACTCTCAGTCTACCCCTGCTGAAATGCCAGGGATTGCAAAACAGCATTCTTCAGAAAGAAGTGATGATGCTCCTCAATGTGTTACTAGTAGTAGCCTTGAAGGTGGGGTGTCATCAAGCCGTACTTCTTCACCAGCTTCCATATGTTTAGGAACAAAACATGGCACTTTCATAGACGAGGTATGCCAGATTGCCACTATTTGTTTTAAGACGTTTTTTTTAATTGTTTTCAGGTTACAACGTATGTTCCTTGATACTTAGGTTCCATTTGTTTCACCATTAAAAGAATGCAGAGAATTTTCAGTATGAAATGTATCAATTTTATTTCTGCTCTATTTCATGGATGAAAGGAAGCTTTTTGGCACTTCAAATTGAAACAAATGCAGCCTCAAGGATCTTTCTGTCTTTCACATTTTAGTTGGCATATATTTTGGAGAAACTTAGACTATTGCTAATTGCATTCCTTAAAACTTTCTCCCACTCAATCACCTTGACCACCTCTGTGCAGAAGTTTGATTTGTTCCTTTATGCATCCCAATGTTTTATGCATCTCTGGATTTCAGATCCATATGAATTTTCTTAATTAAGGATAACTTTTCAACTCTGTAGGCAATATCTATAGCAAACCAGGACCAACCAAGCCCCATTTCAGTCTTGGAAGCACCATTTGATGATGATGTTAATACAACTTCACAACCCTCTGGAAACATAAAGTCAGATCAACAGGGTAAGTACTTGAGACCCTACCAAGCTGACAAATTCATCCTTTATTCTTGAATCTATCTAACTAGTGTGTTCCCTCCAGCAGGGTTATCTGTGCACCATCACTCACTTAGATCAAACTTAATTGACAAATCTCCACCAATAGGATCCATAGCACGGACACTGTCATGGGATGATCCTTGTTTAATAGCAGCCAGACCAAATTCATTGCACTTATCTAGGTTTGCCACTGAAGCAGAAGAAGAACAGGAAAGGTTCTTGTTTGTCCAGGTGTTACTCTCAACTGCAGGCCTGGATTACGAGGAGCAATCTGATGTGATCTTTTCCAGATGGCATTCAGAAGAGAGCCCATTGGACCCATCATTGATTGAAAAATATCTCAGCCTGAAGGATGACAAGGAACAATTACATGAAGCAAAGCGCAGACAGTGGAGATCAAACCGGAGACTGCTATTTGATTGTGTCAATGCAGCCCTGATGGATATCACAGGATATTCATCAAAAGCAAATCCATGGGTGAAGGTATCTAGCACTGTTCAAAGTAAGATTTTGGTAGATTCTGTAGTGACTCTGGACAAAGTCTGGAGCTGTGTGAAGGAGTGGTATAGTAACAGTGAGGGAAGGTGTTATTCAGATGAAAGTGGGGACAGAAACAGTCTGGTGGTGGAGAGGATGGTGAGAAAGGAGGTGGCTGGAAAGGGGTGGGAGGATCTTATGAGGTTGGAAATAGATACTTTAGGTAAGCAAATAGAGGGAGAGATTCTGCAGCAGCTTGTGGAGGATGCTATTGTTGAATTGACAGGTGGATTGTGTTGAAGCTTGTACTTTATTTTCTTTTTTTCTCTATTATTTATGTAGTGTGATTGCTATTTAAAATCATGATAACCTCACCAACCTCAATTTCTTTAAATGCCACAAATTCTCATGTGTATTGATTAAATATTTGGTTTTCCCAGCAAGTATATAAATATCTATATTTACAATGACATTAAGGCTGTTTCCTTCCATGTCTTTTATTTATGGCCTGCTGCTGAACTGCCTTTGTCTTCTTTTAGGGACCCCTTGTTGTCTCTAGTATGTGCTTCTAGAAACTTAAATTACTGTAACTAGGCTCTACTGAGCCTTATCTCAATCCTTACAGTAATTCCCTATTTATCAAATTTGGAAGTTCCACAAAAGAGGTCCCACTTGATCTGTATCTGAAAAGGATTTGCTTGCCCAATCTGTACGTCTACAATTGTCACATGAGCATCACAGGAACTTCACTTTCATGTCGGTGGGGCTACCATCCTTTTCATTCAGTTCCTCTTGTGTGGTTCCCAATTCGTCCATTCTACCAAACTAATCAGAAAGGGAAGTAGACATTTATCAAAAAAAAAAAAAAAACAGAAAGGGAAGTAGAATGATTTGGCCAAGGAAGCTAGCTATAGTTTGATAATGGTGAAGATTTTAGGAGGATCAAACAATTCTTTTCCTTTTGAAGTATGAAGATAGAGATTTTAACACGACTCATTAAACACATGGCTCATTCCATCTTGAATCCAAGAGCCCGAGTCCTGGCGCTATTTTCTTTTCTTTTTTTTTTATTTTTTAAGGACTGATTGGGCTATGATAACACACACAGTTGATAGATTCTAGGCTATATTATTCTCACAGTCCACTGTCCACCCACCATAGTGAATTCTCAGTACTTGACTGTTGAAAGTCATGTGGCAAAACATTATTGCCTGCCAAAAACAGCTGTTTTGGGGGCTATAATCGCCAAGTGGGTTCTGATTAGTCTGATAACTGCCCGTAAGAAAAGCTTAGACAACCTTATTAATATGCAACTGAATCTGATCAGGGATACTGATCTCTGAAATGGGTCTTTAATATAAGAAGAATAGAAGAAAGAGGGCACGTTAGTCTTCTTCTTAACATGTGGAAATGTTGTGGCTAGCAGAGACAATCAACGAGATAAAAGTTAAGTGTGAGACATTGGATCAGGCGCCTTGTTTATTGGACAGTGTTTTAGTGCTTAATTAACTCAGGATCAGTCTGATACTCAGCCCAAATAGAAAAAATAAAAAAAAAGGATGAAAGCATCAATAAGAACAACAAGTCAGTAATTTAATAGTTCTGCGAAGTTTCTCGGACTGGTGGACTGGTAAGCATGAAAACACAGGTTTGAGTCTGAAACCAGTCATTCATATGAAAAATAAAGGCTCAGTTTGGAAATAGTGTAAATACAAATTTGTAGAGTGCAAAAGATTGTATTTTGTATGTATTTGCACTCTTTTCAAACGGAGCCAAAATGTCAAGAAAGTTAGGACTGTATCCAATTTAGGCTGCATTTAGCATTTCTTATTTTAAGGACTAATCTCCCTTTTGCCAGTTAAAAATTCAGTGTTCATGGGGACATTTTAACTGCAAAAAAGAGATAAATCCTTAGAATAAGGAGTGCCAAATGCAGCCTTATTCCTCCCAAGACCCCAGATAGCTGGGGCCTTCCCTACACGAACCTACCTATTCTGCTACATAGGTGGATCTTGTGACGATCTTGACCATCCATTAGATAGGGGACCCAATAGGGATGCAAATTGGGAACCTGATTTGAAGAATTATCACTGCATTGCACTCAAGTAAGGATGAGCATTCAGTTTTATTTGGTTAATTGAATTTTCAATTTAGAAAACCAAATAATCAGAACACTTAAAAAAACCAAATTAACCAAATCGAAAAAACCAAAATTGAAAATTTCAGTTCTGTTTTTTGGTTTTAAGTTTTTAACTAAATAATGCTCACCCCTTCACGCAAGATAATAAAATTCAGTTAATTTGTTTTTTTCTGTTAATTGAATTTTCAATTCTAAAAATGAAAACCAAAATTTGAAATACTCAAAAACTAAATTAACTGAACCAAAAAAAAAAGAAAAACTGAAACTAAAAATTTTGATTTTAACTGAATAATACTCACCCCAAAGCCCAAGCTTTTAAGGGTAAACTTATTCAAATTTTAACAAATTCTCAACCCAAACTCGCCCAAGTTGCATCACACAGTCAACCCCACATTCATATATCAGTTATATGTCCCACCTTGTATTATTTCATGTACATAACAATGTAAATGTGCCTTTCTAAAAGACATTAAACACTGTGGCGTTATCCAATTTTATGTGTCATTACCTTAATTCTTTTGACCAAAATGTAGACCACTATTTTGTGATTGGACCTTCAATGTTGTGCCTGTCACTATGGGTCTAATGTGTGTCAATGGCTTCCTACCTACCAAACAGCTTTGGTCCCCCAATCTTGGCATGGAGATTTTTTCTACTTTGTCATAATCTGGTGAAACTGCATCATGTTTGGGCTAAATAAACAGCACTTTGATATTATTAAGGCTCAGTTTGGAAGTACAAATATATACAAAATAATAGAAACTACATAGTTTTGCACTCTACATATCCTTCCAAACTGAGCCTAATGCATTTTGAGGCTTTTAACATTTTTCTTTCATTTTTATTAAATTTTCTTTAGCCATCTAATGCATTCAACAAATACATGAGCATAATAATAATAATAATAATAATAATAATAATAATAATATCATCATCATCACCATACACATGACAAAATTGTTTGAGACCTATAAATGACCTAAATATTCTTTTGCTGCCCTTTAATTTATAAGGGCAAATTTCAGTGTACAATATTGAATCGAGAGTGGAGAATATCACTAGATATTTCAAATTAACATAATACGATGAAAAATTGGCCAGATTCATGCTATTAAAAAGTTTGGAGTGAAAATTTCAGCATATTTTATATGTAAATATAGGTAGAAATTATTTGTATATATAAAAAATAAGTAAAAAATTTCTATATACTTGCCTTGTCTTCACATCTAAGGGTGTCAATAGGCCGGTTTTGGAATGGACCCCAAAATCAATTTGGACGAACTGGATGGAGAAAAAAGACAGTGGATTGGACCTATCCGGTCCAAAATATTTATTAGATTGGACTGGACCTGGTCCATCCATAATAAATTTATATTGGATTTGGTTGGATTAAGTCAATATCTGATCCATTGATATAAGATAAGAATATAAGTGTCAATGGACCAAGTTTGGGTTGAAACCAATCTAAATTAAAATGAATTTGAACAAATTGAATGGTCCAAACATTGAATTGGACCCATCCAAAATAGTCCAAATTATTTATTGGATTGGATTGGACCTGGTCCATTTGTAATGGACTCATTGGACTATATCAGATTGGACCAAATCCAAAAAAATTAATTTATATTCACATATATTGTATATTTTTAAGAAGTAGTCGATCAGAAACCATTTTTTCATCATTTATTTGTTCACAAATTTTGTGATATAAAAACACATTTTCATTGCTAATACTCCAAAATGAACCTCGAGCTATAAATATTGCACCGTGATCTTTACAATATTACATCTAATGTATGGTAAAACCAATCTGCAATTATGCTCTCCAGTGGGGGTACAACGTTTAGTTGCTCAAGGTGAAACATTTATAGCTCAAGATGCATTTCATATTACCAGTATCATAATATATATATATATATGCTTTTTTATATATACCATAGAACGGCTTTTATTTTATTCAACAAATTTTTAAAAATTAAAAAATTCTAAAAATAACAAAACATCATGTAGTTAGACTTGTTCATGGGCCGGGTGGCCCGACGGGCCGGCCCGGCCCGGCCCGACCCCCGAACGGGCTTGAACAGGCTTTTTGGCCCGCGGGCTTAACCTCGGGCCAAAAAGCCCGGCCCGCAAAAAATTCGAATCGGGCTCGGGCTTTGCCAAAATAGCCCAGTCCGAGCCCGGCCCGGCCCGACCTATAGTTAAACCTAAGTAAACCCGACCTGACTTATAGTTAAACCTAAGTAAAAACCCTATGTGATGTCCATTTGAATAATTTTTTTGATTTGAGAAGGTTGTTGATTCACTTGTAGGCCCATTGTTCATTTAAATAGGGGAAAAACATCTGAATTAAAATAAATAATGTCTATTTAAATTAGGAAAATTTTGATTTTCTTTTATTAGGTCGAGCTCGGGCTTCGGGCTTTTTATCAGAGCCGGGCTCGGGCCCAAATTCTAGGCCCATTGGTTGGGCCGGACTCGGGCTCGGGCCTATTATTTTTCTATTAATGAACACTAAAAGCCCAGCCCGGCCTATGAACAGATCTACATCTAGTCAGTGTTTTTTGTAACCAATATAAATCGAGGGTCCAGACATTAAGAAGAAGAAAACAAAAGAATGACACTGGATGTGACCATGTCGTTGCATATTCTCCTCTTAAATGCATTTGTTCTCCGCTTTCTTCATGCAATCGCTCCGTGACTAACCGGTAATCAATTATGCAAAGAATTTTGATTCAAAGAATTTTGCCAACGGGTTGTGGTCGGGTTTAGCGTGGATTAATTTCAACTCAAACCCTGAAAAACTGGCCCGACCTACACACAAGTTGTTTCCACATTTTACCCACACAGCACCACCACCGTATAATAAGAGCCTCATCCTCATCAATGATAAAGAGATATTCTTTATGTGCAAATGTAATATCTTATGGATAGAGATGTGGATAATATTATCAGAACCCCTCTAACACAGCTAGTCTCTTTCTACGATGAAAATCAAACCCCACCAATCCAACGGTCAAAAATTGATCCTTACTAACTCGATTCTTGGAAACAAAAGTAAATTCATTAAAGACTCGATTCTTGGAAACAAAAAGTAAATTCATTAAAGACCAATTTCATGCCAGACTGCCATTAATAGGTCTGGGTCATTTATTCCAATCAGTTGATTTATTCCAGGAAAAGACGATAATGCACCTATTTTTCGTGTAAATTCTGATCAAGTCATGACATCTAAGCATGCATATTCCAATTGAGTTCTAACTGCTTCAATCTCTATCACTCAC